CCTCCTCTAAAGGACTGGAGAGGTTATTTAACTTCACTGTGCCTTGGTTTCCTCATCTGTACATTGAGGGTATTAATACTGCTTATTTGATAAGATTGTTGTCAGGTTGAGGGAGACAACACATATAAAGTGTTTAGTCTCACACATAGTGAGTACTCAGTCAGCTATTGTTATTGACTTTTAAAAAATCTCTTTCCAAACTGAAGAGATCCCTTATACCTTCAATCTTTCCTAAAACATCAGTTTCTTGTCTCTTTGATTATTTTAATTGCACTTCTCTGGACCACTGCCAGATCTAGCATCTCTTTAGCATCTCTTAGGGTTTTATTACCACATCTACACAAAATATCCTGTTACTTGTTTGAGGCTAACATGGTCACTCATTTCAAAGAGCCTTCCTAATGCCACTGAATATTTTATTTGCTTTTTTAGCATATTGGGTTGAGGAAATAAACCCTTGAAAATTCCAACATCCTTGTGCTGGGTTCTAACTTGTACCTGTGACCTAATCTCAATTCTCTTTGAATATAGACATTCCCTATACTACTGCTTGAGCACTAAATATCTATCAGTTTATACCTGAATTGAATGTATGCATGCAGGGGAATTTAACCCCGTCTGGAAACATGAAGAGTTCTTTTGGCACTCTGAAATTTAAGGGATTTATTAAGGCTCAGTTATGTTTCACTGGTCAAACTTTTCTGCTCAATGGTGTCAGTAAAGGGCTAAGTGATAACTAGTTCTGCTCTCGAGGTGCTTGTGAGGTGCTTGGAATAACAACCTCGTGAGTCCAACTGGACAATGCGTCAGGAGACCTAGAATAGGGACCTTCGCAGAGGGCTCTGGGAGCCCTTAGGAAGAGGAGGCCCTAACTCAGTCTGAGGGCATCCTGGAAAGTTTGTTGACTTTTGATCTGAGTTCTGTCAGACAAATAGAAGTTAGTTTGGCAAAAAAGGAGTTGAAGGTCTATCCAAACAGAAGGAGCACCTGGGAATCCACATGAATGGTATGAAACCATGCGAAGCATTCAGGGAACTATAGAGAGTTCAGAATGGCTGAAGTAAAATATATTGGAGGTAGAAAGAGGGGCTATAGAGCTCAAGAGGCAGTCTAGAGCCAGGCATGTGGAGCACTGTGTGCCAAGCTAAGGAGGTAACACTGAAGGTAGTCAGGGCTCCTGGAGAGTGTGGAGCAGGGGTATGATGTTTATAAACAGGTTTGTGTTTCAGAAAGCACCCTCTCATCAAAGGGTGGAGGAATGATTGACAGAGACTAACACAGAGGTCTGCATACCTTTCCAGAAAGGCCAGATAGCAAATATTTCAGGCTTTGCAGTCTTCCAGGTCTCCAGAAATCATTCAATTCTGCCCTGTAGGAGAAAAACAGCCAAAATCAGTAAGTAAACAAATGGGCAGGTCTGTGTCCAATAAGCTATTACTGATGGACACTGAAATTTCAGTTTTACATAATTTTTATGTGTCACAAAAATTTTTTCCAGCCCTTAAAGATATAAAAACTTGGGCGGGGGATTTAGCTCAGTGGTTCTGTCACCTGCCTCGCAAGCACAATGTCCCAGGTTCGATCTCCAGTACCAAAAAAAAAAAGATGTAAAACCTTTTTAGCTTCAGGCCATACAAAAACAGATGGGGGACTACATTTAGTCCTTGGGCTGTGGTCTGATCTCTGAGTGCAGAGGAGGTAGACAATTCTTTCAAGAAGATTCTCAAGGGGAGGGGAAAATAGTACAGTAGTGACAGGGAAGGGCTGTTTATCAGAGGTGTTTTTTGAAACTGTTTAGGCAGAGGAGAAAGGGATAGGGGAGGAGTCACTGAAGATGGGTGGGGGTTGATAACTGAAGTAGATGCTGGCAGAGGCATAAAAGAAGTGATAGGATGCAGAGTATAAGATGAGGAATACATTTTCAAAAGGAAGAGAAATACCTCTTCCAGTGAGGCTGGTGGGAGGTTGGGATGGATGGGCACTGATGGAATATTTAAGTAGATGGCAGAGTAGGATTTTCCCAGAATGCTTTAAGATTTTCACTGGAAAGGAAGTAAGGCTAGAATTCCAGGTGAGTTTTCCTGTAGTCATTCAAGATGATGACATAGCTGGGAGGGGCCCAGAGAAAAGGAGGAAGCCTGTGAACCAGATGTCTAAGTACTCTGAGAATGTGTGGGAGTGACCAGAAAAGTGTTGAAAACTAGGAAAGAAGTTGCCAGAGTTTCCACAAAGGTGTAGGAGTAATGGGTTTCCTCCATGGGAGGGAGCAGAGTGCCGGGTCCTCCTTCAGGCCACACCATACAGGTTGTATTGTGTGCCTGTGCGTGCTAGAAGGTGGGTTTGTGACAAAATGAACGTCCAGTGAAACAGCTTCAGAGCATGTGATGTCCTGGGAGAAGTGTGGGTACTGTTAAAGGGTTTGGAGAGGCCATTGATGCAGCAAGTGAGGGGTGGTTTGTTCACAAGGGAGGATAGTCCAGAGAGCTGTGACCAGACTGGCAGAGGGGCAGGCTCACCGTGAGAAGAGTCAGTGGGGGGATGGGAACGAGACTTATGGAGCAATATTGGGCTGAGAAACAAGCACATTCTGAGGGCAGCTGAAGGCTCATGGGGATTGGTTGCCTGGCCTCCTCTCAATATTCCCCCTGGAATTCTGATATGAAGAGGCTGCCAAGAGAGCATACTAAATTGCTGGGGCCACATAAACAGAGGTAGAGTCAGGGCCTTGAAGACATCTGCTGACTGTTGTCAGCAAAGCAAATCTGTGTTTGTTTTCTCCAAGTTCCAAACACTCAGAGAGAAGAAAGTAGTTTTGTGTTGAGTGCTTAGCCCTGAGAAGCAGGTAAGCTCTTTCACTAGGTCTTCCAAGGTGTCAAAATAGGTCTGTGGAGAGGGTAGTGGGAAGCCTTAGGAAGGCATTGCACCCGAGTTTCTTCCCTTTTCAAAGCCCATCCCTATGTGAACATGGCAGCATGGTCACACTGGAGTCACGGTATAAGGACAGGTAGTTGTGAGGCTTCCTGGGAAGACACACAGGCTCAGGCAGTAACAGAAGAGAATGAGCACACAATCCCTGTCTCTAGTCTGGAAACTTCCTGACCTGACAGGGACAGAACTAGCAGCAGAACACCATTCAGGGGATTTTGGGGGCTTACCATCCTCACAGAGCTTAAAGAGCTGGTTGGTGAGGGTAAATCCACCACACTAGGGAATGTAGCATTGCCTGAGTGTTGTTTTGGCAAGGAAGGCATATATCCTTGAGATGAAAACATTTGAGAACCATGAGTTCTAGACAGAATGATAGGAATTAGATTGGAATTGTCCTTGGATAGGGTCTGAAGAGTTCCTCCCAAAGAGGAGATGGGGAACTCAGCTCAGCCTGCCAAGTAGGTTCTCGACTCTCCTCACAGAAAAAGAACATCAGGACATGTCAGTGAGAGGCTTAGAAAGGCTTTACTATGCAGAATTAAAGAAGTACAAGTACATGCTCAGAAGAGTGTGGGCCCTTGAGAGAAAGCTTCACTGTATTCTGGGGTTGGGAGTCTGTATGTGTGCACGTGTGTATGTATGTTCATGTTCTTAGAAGTATCCTGTAAGATGTTTTGCCTAGAAACAGTCTTTGAACCCTTTGAATCGGTTTCTCATCTTAAGGTCAGGTTGCTACCCTTTACCTTATCAACTAGGCTTATACTATCTTTAAGGAATTTGGGTGTGATGGCCTGGAAGGGAAGAAGAAAACTAAGCCTATGGAGTACAGATATGGATAGCCTTGGGTAACTGCATACTGAAGTCTCAGTCTTCTTAAAACTACAATTTTAAAATTATGATTTTGTGTCCTTTCCTTGTTGGTAGTAACAATGGTGGTATGAAGAGTTTGAGAAAGGATACCATATACATTAGGAAGAGAAGAATGAGCTTATTTCAACAATGTTTTAGGTGCTCAATACCCAACAGATGAAGGCAGGATGGCAAGCCAGGGCTTGAGATTTGTAGCTTACTCACGTTGAAACGATAGTTTAGAGAAAACAAAGAACCCGCACAAATGAAGGAGTGATGTGAGAAGTATGGGGGAAAAGTACAGGAATTTACTGTTCTCTAACACAAAATTCAAGTATGGAGGGGAGTGATATGAAAATTCTGGTGTGTAAGTTGGCCAAGAGAGTGAGAACAGAGAAAATATTCTTGGAAAAAGAGAGAGGAGAGATAGAGGTCAAAGGTGACTCGGGAGCAGGGGACATTTGTTTTAACACAGCAGTAAAAAGTAACAAGAAGAGACAGAGGAAGATTTCTTGTTTGGGAAAGGCGGGGGCGGGGGGGGGCGGTGCTCCTGAACATTAGTACATCTGAGCACAAACCGTCTGAATCTTCTTTGTGAGATTAATGAGTTTCTGCACAGGTTCCTGATGTGACAGATGACATATGTTAAGTGTGTACATGTAAAGAAAACCGAATATACAGACACACGCATGATCAACGCCTTGGAGTCCTTTCTTTTAGGATCTACTAAAGTGTTTTTGTTGTTGTTGTTGTTGTTTTTCTTCCTTTTTCAACGAGGACAGAACAAGGGGAATCTGGTTTAAATTACAGAGATGGAGAGTAAGGCCACTCCCAAGGGGACAACTTCTCAGCCTGTTAAGAGACGCTGGGGGACTACATTGAGATGGGCTATGAAAGATACATTCCCCTGAGAAGTGGATCAAATAGACGGAGCGCAATATGTCTCTGCTTCGTTACACCGAGCTGACGTTTCTTTAGCAGAGGGCAGTGCGCTAGATTCGCCGGCCTTTCACTTCCTAGCCGCGCCCCGGGGTGCCCGTGCGCAGGCGGAAAGGCAGAGGAAACCGGCGAGCGATAGAGCGGAGGCTGCTCCGGGCCCTTTAAGAGGGGCGGTGGCGCGCTCCGACGGCTTCCCTCTGGCCCCGCCTCTTCCCGTGAGCCCTCGGGGAGTGGTCCGACCGCGGGCGCTGCCGGTGAGCGAAGTCCAGGGGGCGGGGGGAGACATGGCTCGGCGCGGCTGGCGGCAGGCGCCCTTCCCTTGCGGCGGCGGTGGCGTCGGCGTCGGACCCCAAGCCCGGCCGCTCATGCGGCCCCTCTGGTTGCTCCTCGCAGTGGGCGTCTTTGGCTGGGCCGGGGCTTCGGACGGTGCCGGCGGAGCAACGAGAGTCATGGACGAGGAGATCGTGTCCGAGAAGCAAGCGGAGGAGAGCCACCGGCAGGACAGCGCCAATCTGCTCATCTTCATCCTGCTGCTCACCCTCACCATTCTCACGATCTGGCTCTTCAAACACCGCCGGGCCCGCTTCCTGCATGAGACTGGCCTGGCTATGATTTATGGCAAGTGCCGTAACCCCTGGCCGCCCCCTGGCACTGTCCCTTTCTCTGCCCGCCGGCTGCTTTGGCTCCTCTCCTAGCCCTGATCGGCCTACATTGGGCTCCCTTTCTGATTCCCTTCCTTTTCTGCCCTGCCTTACCACCCTCACCCCCGCGCCCGTTTCTCTGCCTCGTCTCCCCTTTATTTCTGCTACGCCCCCCGTTTCTTTACCTCACCTCCTTTACTCCCCCATTTTCGTGGTCTCTTCACACCTTTTTTTTTTTGCTTCCGACCCCACCCCCTTTCTCCATCCTGCTCCCCCTCCTCTGCCTGGGGAGCTGGAGACTGGGACCGGGGCCGGGGAGGGGAAGGGAGTGGGTGCGGTGTCTCAAACTGGGCTGGGGGAGTGGAAGACATTGTGATCTAGTTCTCTGGGGTGCCAATTTGTTTAAGGTTCATTGAAGCTGCGGTAGCACCTCTGCTGCCCAGCGTGTCATTCTTTAGGAAGTCGACCTTTACACGTTACCCAGCTCTTGCTATGCCCTGTCCTGTGGAGCCTAATCAAAATAAAAACCTGAACGTGACATACATAGGCTTGAGACATTTTAAATGAGGCCCTGATTTTCTGTACTGCGCTTGAAATATCCGATGTGGATACGTGTGAGTGACCCTTCCCGTTCAGGCTTACAAAAGTGAGGGCAAGGAAGAGTTATGGTTCTCCCAGCAATGTGTTGTACTACATCCACGATGATCAGAACAGGTCACCTCAGCAGTAGTTATCAAGCACCATGCATATGCAGCCTGGGTTTCTTGCTGTTGGCATGAGGTTATTGACCGACTGAGTAAATGGCTTCAGTTCTTCTTGAGTCTCAGTGGGCTATTTCTTGAGGTTATTTATTGATTTGAATTCTTGGTGATGAGGCACAAAGGGTAAATCAAACCACGGGCTCAGAAGCATTTTGAGCCATGCTTGTTTGGGTCTCAAGAGGGAAAAATAGATACATACTGCTGACTGTCTTAAACTGTGAGAGTATGCCTGAAGAGACCACGGTGGAAAAAACAGTCCTGTCTATGAGTACATGTGTGAACATCATCTTCATTTAGAACAGTCTTAAACAGTGGAGCTTGTTGAGGTTTGACTCTGAGACTGGCAGAAGGTAGATGAAGCTTTGGCACAAAAAGAATTTTCTCCATGGAACTCCCCCACCCCACCCCCTTTCCAGTAAATCCAGGCTTCTAGAATGTGTGTGGATCTCAAGGGTACGGAGGAAAGGTTCAGTAGTTGTGTGCCTCAGAAAGATGCATGAGCTCAGGCTGATTTCTCATTTTTAAGGTAATAAAATTCTAAGCCTGTGTGTAAAATCTCCTTGCTCACTATGATTCCTAGTTTTTAGACATACTAATGGTTCTTTTATGTCATAATTTTTGTATTTCATTTGCGGGCCTCTTAAGGCAGATTGGCCAGATATAGTATTCAGTTTTTATATATTTTCTCTGTGTGACAGTGTGATTTATTCACTTTCCTCAACAAACATTTACTAATCGGTCTAGTAAGGATTAATGTAAGACTTTTGCCCTACAGATAAGTTCGTAAAGGGAAAAGTGGCATTTTACATTTGGTTAAATGCTAAAATAAGGAACTGATCACAGATATCTGTTTTCTATATGTGTGATACTTAAAGGTGCAAGGCTTTGACCAGAGGTCAGCAAAATTTTCAGCAAAGGGCCTGTGATAAAGATTATTGACTTTACAGGTCACGTAGATCTTCATATCTGGGTTGCATTTTATACTTTGTTGCTGTTATTTTCTTTTTGCAAACCTTTACAATGTAAAAGTCATTGTTCTAGGGGCGCACAAAAACAGATAGAGGACTATAGTTGCAAACCCCTGCCTTTGGGGTCAGACCTGGATCCCTGTCTCACTGTGCTGATACCCATGTATGATCTTAGGCAGGTCCCACCTCTTCTTACCCTCATCTATGTATTGGGGATAATGACTATAGGGTTACAGTGTGGAAGAAATGTTTTAGCCTGGTACTTGACCCTGAAGTAAATGCTCAAAAAATCATAACTGTGCTATTATTGTTATTATTATTGCAGTTAAAACTGCATTTCCTCAGGTTAGTCTCAATTCTTTTAATAACTTAGTGTTTATTACGAGACTAAGATAGTATTTTTAAAAAATCAAATAGAGACTTTGAATTACCCTGACATTATTTGCTCTTAGCCAGTATCATTAACTTTATCTAACTTTTGGGCTAAAATAGAAAAATAGGATTCCTCTTTTTCTTTTCTTTTTCTTGAGACAGCATTTCACTATGCAGTTCAGGATGGCCTTGAACTCACTATGTAGCTCAGGCTGGCCTCAACTCTCAGTGATCCTCCTGCCTCAGCCTCCCAAGTGCTGGGATCACAGCCGTGCACCACCACATCTGGCAAAAATAGGATTTCTGATTGCATTTCCTTAACTTACTAATTTAATAGGAAGGGATAGAAGAGCTTAGTGTTAGTGTTCTATGAAGGAAAAACAAGGATGACTCGTGGAGTGAAAAGTGTGAGAGTTACCCTGGGAGTCAGACTGAGACTGAGTTGGCAGTCTTCAGTCTGTGCTATTTTCTCACTATGTGCAGTGGGGGCTGTGGACTGAAAAGTAACTAAAGCCTCTAAAGTAACTCCCAAGCCCAGTTCGCGACTATATGGGACTGGGCCAAAGTATTCTCAATACCATGAAAATTGAAGTTTTCTGATCCTAATTACTGGCTTTCACTTTTTCTTAATGACTCCTCCACTGTCATAGGTATTGTCCTACTATATTAAGACCTTTATTTTTCAGTGTGACTTCTCACTGAAAAGAGAATGCCTACACCTCCATGATTCAACCTCCTGGTGATCTGATTCCTGTGGTGTTGGGTTAGCTACTTAACTCCTGGGAAAATGCTATTTAAAATGAGCCTTTCTTTTATCTTTTTGAGAAGCCAGGGTAATTTTTTAAAATCGCTAATGTCAGTTTCTAGACTGTAATATAGACTAATTGCTCCAATTACAAACACAATCTCAAAATACCCACATGGTTTGTTCATTGGTCTAGCTTTCTTGAGATGCTTAAAAGTGAGTCACTGTTAGTAAAAATTGTTGTTAGTTAATTAAATCCAAAAAGTGATCACTCACATTGTGGTGTTTACAGATAGTATAAAAAGCAAAAGATGGAAGAATATTTGCTTTGCCTTAAGCTTAGGGAATCCAGGATCCTAGGCTTAACCAATGTGATTCAGCAATAGGCATTTCTTACAGGTCTATGATGTATGGAATATGATGGGAAATTCAGGTATAGTCCCTGGCCACAAAGTGCTTACAATCTAGTGACTTAATGGATAGCTTATTGAGCTTTACAATGTGTTAGGCTTTGTGATAGACCTTTTACAAGTATTTCACTTAAACTTCATAAAAACTCTGTGAAATGGACACTATTACCTTTTCCATTTTTCAGATGAGGAAATTGGGGCTCAGAGAGGTTAAATGGCCTACCTGGAGTCATATAACTTGTGCTTAGCCAAGTCAGTATGGTTCAAAAGCTCTATTCTCTAAGCCCCTAACCCACATTGCCTCTCATTGACAAGATAAAACATAACTGTAAAGACAGTGTGGAATAGTATAATCATCACTGCATACTCGGAAACTGAGGTTCCATTAAGAGGTTATGTAGACTAGAACTCCATGGAGCCAGGACTTATCTGTCTGACTTCTAAACCTATGCTTTTTCTCCTGCGTTGTACTGTAAGCAGTTTCATGATATGAAATATGTAAGAAGATAATACTTAAACCTGTAAGGGTTTTGAAGGTGCATTGTGAGGGAAGGCTGTGAGGGAATGGAGACCAGTACTATACCGATTTTCCAGAGAACCCCCGGAGTAGGAGTTCATCTTGATGTGAGTGAGGAGATGGTTAGAAAAGTAGGGGCTTTGGAATTAGGAAATTTAGATTTCACTTCTGGCATCATCACTTGATGACAAGTAATTTTGGGTAAGTCATTTATCTCCAGTCTAAATATGAGGACACAATGACTGAGAAATTTATATATCTTTGTCAGAGGATTACAGCCAAATAAGTTCTTCTTTCCCTCCCTCCCTCCCTCCCTCTCTCTCTCTCTCTTTCTCTCTCTCTTTCTTTTTTTCTTCCTTCCCTCTTTTATTTCTCTTTTCTTTTCAGAAACAGGACGAGAATTGGTAAGAGGTTTATCTTTCCCTAGAGGGAGTTAAAGAGAAATGAGCTTCTATATTGAGATGGGTAGGCATGGAATGGAGACAGCCCGTGTCAGATGGCCTCCAGCTTCTCAGAAAAGTAGGGGCTGAGGACTTTGACAAGGAAGTTAAAGTTTGTGAATGTGCTCAGAGACAATGAGATGAATAAATGCACATCAAACTAACAGAGGTCAGCAAAAGCCTTGGCTTTCTTGAAATTGAATTAGCTTTTTTTTTTTTTGGTACCGGGGATTGAACTCAAGCCTCCCCATAGATCCCCTGTATGGCTTCATTTTGCTTTGGGAATGAACTACAAACTCCCCCTCCCAGTATACACAGTAGTTTGTTTTGATTTAGCGTCTACGGAACTTTCAAGCCCCCCCGCCCCCCGCCCCATCTTGTTACCTCATGAGTTAGCCCTAATGAACTATTTGTGATCCCTAAGTGGGCTGTGTTTATTCCTTCTTTCTTAACTGCATATATACTACCATTACCCTATCTGGAATATACCTTTTCTTCTATTGTGTTACCTGTTCTGGTGCTACCTCTGGAAAGACTTCCCTAATGCTCCACTACCTCAACCTGTGTAGGTGTCTCCTTTCAGTTTTTATAATACCTTGTATTACATTGTATTATGATTATTCAGTCAGTTTTTGCTAGTTGGAATGACCTCCTCAAAGGAGAGTCTTTGTTTTCATCTCTAAATCTAGAGGCACATTCACATTTTTTTTTAATGCTAGAGATTGAACCCAGGGTCTTTACGATGAGCTACGTTCCCTACCCTTTTTTAAAAATTTTGAGACAGAGTCTCACAAAGTTGCTAAGTTGCCCAGACTGGTCTCAAAATTATAATCCTACTGTCTCAGCCTCCCAGTATGTTGGGATTATAGGAATGTGCCATCATGCCTGGCTTCCATTTGCATTTTAAAAAGAATTGCTAATGGGTCGGATTGAGAGGCCACATGAGGGCAAACTGTAGCCAGTGGTGAGATATTGTGCATCTTGGCATTAAATAAATTTCTAGAGGGTTGGGTTCAGTTTGTGGTTAATATTCCATACAATGGAATATTATTTGGCCATAGAAATGAATGAAGTTCAAATGCATACTACAATATAGATAGGTCTTAAAAACATTGCATTAAGTGAAAGAAGCCAGAACCAAAAGTCCATTTACATGAAAAGTCCAAAATAGGTAAAGCCACAGAGAAAGAAAGTAGATTAATGTTTGTCAAGAGCTGGTGATTTGGGGAAGGGGGTATAGGGAGTATTCTATTTTTGGAGTGATGAAAGTGTTCTGGAAATGGTGATGATTGATGTACAACTTTGTGAATATGTTAAAGACCATTGACTTGTACCGTGTAAAAGGATAAACTTTATACAGTGGTGCCTCGATTCACAAACTTAATTAGTTCTGTGATTTTAGAAAAGATTGCCCATGTTTGTGTTTGTAAGAAAGATGGCTGCGATCGTTTTTGTCACCCAATGCAGAGTTTGCAAACAAAAGCAAAATTTTGTCAAAGGCTTCTGTTTGTGAACCAAATTGTTTGTAAACAAAAGCATTCATGAACTGAGGTACTGTGGTAGTGTGTGAGTTATATTTCAATAAGGCTGTTTAAAATTTAAATGTGACCTTTTAGTAGAAGAAGAATTTAATCAATCTACAAATAATATATTGACTTTCCAGCTTGTTAAATGTATATTATTTGGCCAGCTATGTGCTTTGGTAATAAACTTGGGAAGCATATGCAATTAAGTCTTGTAAATTGATGAATGGAGATTAAAAAACACATTTCTAACACGATTACACTGAGAGATTGAGACTCCTTAGAGCATATTCTGGGTACAGATGATTAGAAGGTATTTTCTCATTTTATTACTGTTCTCATCACTTATTTATATATTGATCTAGAAATATAATGATCTGTGCTATTACCATAGGGAATGTTTTTCCCTCCTGACCCATTGGATTAATGAAGATTGGGCTTTTGAATGTGTGAATCTAGTAGTACAGTACTTTTTAAAATGGTAACTGTATTTGGTCTAAAAATTGATTCTGAACCACAGAGGACTTGATAGAGATTTTTATTGTCGTTCCAGAGGTATGTATGGGGTACAAATACAGAGTGTCTGTCTGCAAGAAAAGCTTACTTTGTTGTTTTATTTCCAGGTCTTTTGGTGGGCCTTGTGCTTCGGTATGGCATTCATGTTCCAAGTGATGTAAATAATGTGACCCTGAGCTGTGAAGTGCAGTCAAGTCCAACTACCTTGTTGGTAAACGTTAGTGGAAAATTTTATGAGTATACGCTGAAAGGAGAGATTAGCTCACATGAACTGAATAATGTCCAAGATAATGAAATGCTTAGGAAGGTAAGTTTTTAGTTAAAGGGAATCTTTGTTTTCTTAAGTGTGTAACTAGCAGCAAAGTAATTTTGAAGAAAAAGAATGAATTTCTAATATTTAAAATGGTTTGTCTTTTAAAATGAAGTTAAACCTCAGTTAATAACTATAATAATGTAAGGAAATAGATATTTCTAGAAATTTTATTTTCCAGTTGAGGCTAAGTGCTATAACCCTTTATTTTTGTCTCAGTTTTTATTGTCTACAATTGTAATAAATAATGACCAGGGTTGAGTTAAGCACGATGTATAAGCATTTTTTTTATATAAGCATTTTTTACAATGCTTACCGCTTTGCAGTTTTAGAGCATTTCAGCTCATTGGGTTTATTTAACATTACCTAAAATATTCCATTAATATTTGCTTGAGTTCTTTCGTGCCTTGTGTTTTATTCAGAGCACAATGTAACCTTTCTTTGGTTACCTAGCATAACTTCAGGGGTCTTCCTGTGAACCTCAATTGTCGTACCATAAGGCATTACGTAGGCAGGTGGCTTGCAGTCGTACTGGACCTCAGACATTCCTGCCTCACTCAGTTTCTCTCAGGATGCTTCAGAGTGCCCCTTTGCCCATCTCTTTGTTTCCACCCACCCTTGGCCATTTGCCTCTACAGTACTTCTGCTACATTGGCAGGACTCGACTTTTATAGCTACTTGATTATATTTCTGATCGCCTTTAATGCTTTTTTAATTTCCTGTGAACTTAATTTACTTTGCAGTGAGTTCTCACCACCTGTGGAAAATTCTGGTTACTTAAAAGTTCTAGCAAACTAAGTTTCAGCATGTGTGTGTATTGCTTGTGGCTTTGTGTCCATATCAAATTTTATTGTAGCTTAAGTGAATAGGTTTTTAAATGAGTGGGCTCTAAGGACTAGAAGTCAGAGTTGTACAGAATGTTTTGATGTAATCTTATCTTGTATCGATTTAGAGATTTTATCTATATAACAAGTTATCTCTGATAGTTGCCAAGTTTCCTCTTGGCAGCAATCATGACATACCCCTAAGTTCTGTGTTACCAGTTTTGGATCCCTCTCTTCCCTCTTGTCTTTCCTGTCCGGTCCTGTCCTGTCCCAACCTGTCCTTTCCCCTCCTTTCCCCTCCCCTCTGCTCCTTCCTTCTCCCTCCAGTGCTAGTCATTGAACTCAAGACCTTCTTGCTGAGTCCCTATGTTGTCTGGGCTGGGTTTAAACTTCCAGTCTTCCTGCCTCAGCCTACCAGAGTGCTGGGATGACAGGCATGCACCACCCTGCCCAGCTTGGCTCTCTTTTGCTTAAAGCCAAAATGTGTTCATATTTTCTCCTATTTTAAAATAATATTTTAACGTAATTTTCACAGGAATGGCTTAATTAATTTAATACTTAACACTATCTCTGGGTCATGTGGTTGAGAAGTAGAACAAAAGCTGTCTTATATGAAATCTTTTACAGGAGGAAACACAAAATTTGTTATATGCCTACTGCAGAGAAGTATTAGACCCCTTTCTATGAAAGATTTTTAAGTTACCACAGTATTGTTTTTGCCATGGGCTACTTTAACATTTAATCTTTTTTTCTTTTTGATAATGTAATAATGTAGATGAGGTCTTCTAAGGAAATTAATCTAAAGAACTCTTTATTTTAACAGGTAACTTTTGATCCAGAAGTATTTTTCAACATATTACTTCCTCCTATCATATTTTATGCAGGTTATAGTCTGAAAAGGGTAAGTGCTTTTGCGTTTTATGTATTGTGAATAGCCTTAAACTTCCCATGGGTTTTTATATATTTGACACTCAAAAAACAATTCATTTCTTTCCAGGGTCTCCTTCCTTCTCTCCTAAATTCTTTTTAGATACTACAATTTTTGTGTGTATAAGGATGCTTTCTCTTACTGATTTCTTTTAGTAGTAAATAATGGGTTTCATATTGGCATAGCACACTAGAATAGAAAATTTTGTCAGACATTTGGTAAGCTATCACAGTGTGATTTTTTTTTTTTTCCCCCTGCCAGAGACATTTCTTCCGGAACCTTGGGTCTATCCTAGCATATGCTTTTCTTGGAACAGCAATTTCTTGTTTTGTTATTGGGTAAGCATTTGAAGCTTGAACTATTTTTTAGCCTTCAAATTATAATTCTAAAATGATACATTTTTGCTTGTATGGTTTTGTATTCCTGAATGTGTCTGTAGACTTTTGCAGTAAAGTGCAAAAGCATAGGTAATACATTGTTTGAATTATCCTTAAGACTAAGGTATTAACCATATTTAATTTCTATGAATTAAATTTGGGATTAATCACAGAGTACTATAGTAGATCCATTTTTGGGGGGTGTGGGGTATACTGAGGATGGAACCCAGGCTTAGTTATATACTGACACCCACAGCCCACCAGATCCATCTTCTTATTCTTACTTTATTCTAACTCCTTTATCAGTTGACATTTTTTTCTAAAGTAAGAATATGTTTATTGAACAGGTCGATAATGTATGGCTGTGTAACACTGATGAAAGTAACTGGGCAACTTGCAGGAGATTTTTACTTTACAGATTGCCTGCTATTTGGTGCCATCGTATCAGCGACAGACCCAGGTACGTTTTACAAAAGTACCTGAAATACTTTTCCAGTAAATGCACATATGAGTGTTTCTCTGAGGAATAGAATTCATGATTAGGAACTTCCCTACACTGTGCTTTCCTATCGTGGTGGCTAAAACAGTTACGATTCCTTTTGGTTTAAAATGTTCCCACTGGCTTGAATCACCCTTGGTACAGGTGGTACAGTTATGCACATCCCGCTGGTGGTTCAAGCCTCTGGCAGCGAGACATAGGAATTACAGCCCTGATGTGAACATGTTAAGCATACATTTTATGTTTTTCTTTTACTTCTTTATTACTATTACCTCTTACTGGTCCACAAGTTCATTCTGTCTATATGAGATCTATAAGATATTGTATTAAAAATTTAGAATGGTCTCCCTAGTGATTAGACAAAGGAGAAGATGAGCTAGGTTAGAGAATTTTTTAAATGAGTCTTAATTATACACTCCTTTTAAATTTGTAGAAAACCAGTTCCCTAAAAATCTTTTGTTTATATTCAGCTATTTGCATGTAATAGTAAGAAAAGAAGTTTTGTTTTGTTTTGTTTTTGGTACCGGGGGTCGAACTCAGGACCTCACACTCACTACATCCCTGGCCCAGAAGAGAAATTTTTGAATGATTGTTATAAGGCAACTCTGTTTATACAAGGATGATTTTACGTTATTGGTGGTCTTTAGTACACATTAAATGATTATTTTTTATAAATAGGCATTATGGTTATGAAATTTTTTTGGTAGTAGCACAGATTGCTCCTGAGTAATTTTAGCGTCAAGTCTCTGTAAATTGTGTTATAGAATGAATTTAATTGTGTTTAATAAGGTTTTAGTTTTTCTGATGTAGTATTGGTAAGCTTAATAGCTGCATTTAAATGAGGAATTTGGAGAAAAATATAGGATGAAGAGTTCAGAACCACAACACAGACCAATGGTTTTTGTTTTGATTTGTATTTGTTTGTTTGTGCTGAGGGTCAAATCCAGGGCCTTTCATATCTAGGCAAATACTGACCTACACCCCCCACCCCCAGACCTAAGTTTCTAAAGTAAAGATAATTTTTTTTTTTTAGTATGACTTAGGACTTTGGTGGAGGTTTGTTCTGTTTTACCTTTTGACCTTGTAAGTTAATCATCTTCTTTAATTGTCATTCAGAGTTAAAAGTAGGATTTTAAGATTATCTCTGAATTCCCGTGTTAACACTGATAACACATGGCATTATGGGAAGGGGAAAATATGTTCCAGACTGTGTCAGAGATGATTTGAAAAGATTACTCAGAGAGCCATTAGTGTAGTTTAGCATTTTTAGGAATAGAAATCAAATTGCTTCCTTAAAGACCACAAAGGCTTTCCCATTACTGCTTATAGCTGCCCCCATTATCAGTATGAAGGTAGGAGGGGAGGTTTTATAAGCAGCCAGTGGTCTCTGGTTTTTGTGTCCTCTCAAAAGAGGCAAGCTCCTCAATTTCTCAGTGTGTGAGAAATCTGAGTCCAATCAATTAGACTGTCTGCCTTACTTTAACCTTGTAGTTTTGTTGTAGTAGGAGTATTGTCTGAACGGCGCAAGCAAAAACCTTTTTCTTATATCAACTTGGAGAGTACAGTTTTTCTAAATTATATAGGTACTTGCTCTAATTCTATTATTTTGCAGCAGTTAACTTTTTAGGAGTGTGAGCTATAGGTTTTCTTTTCAGAATTCTGCAGCATTGCTTCAGTTTTCCTCTTTCTCTTGGTAAGCTTTAGTATCAGTATATTCCAGCTGCAGTGCTTTGCAGTAGAAATTATATCTTTTAAAATGCAAATTTCCTGTTTTCATGGTTGGCATTTGAAAAGGCTCTCCCATCTCTTGTTTATATTAATCTTTCATGTCTGCTTGGTTTTATTTAGTGGGTGAGCTGTATGTGACTCAGCAATTAAAGTTGTAATGCAACTTCTCAATCTTATCTGATTTTTTAAAAATTCCAATATAAGTGCCTCTGTAAAAGAGGGGTTTGTTTTTGTGGTTCTTTTTCCTTCTCAAGCTGTAATATCCTGGTAGTTAAATTCTTCAGTTAAATGTGGCAGCTGTAATTCTGTTCATAATTTTTACTCTAACCCCAAAACTAAAGTTATATTTTCATTTCCTACTGTCTTTGCTAAACCAGTGTGTTTGCAAGTCAAATACAAGTGAGTTGTAAGGCTCTCAGGAAAAGGAGTTTGAAGTAGAAGATACTTTTTCTTTCCTTCTTTCTTTCTCTTTCTTTCTTTCTTTCTTTCCTTTTCTTTCTTTCTTTCTTTCTTTCTTTCTTTCTTTCTTTCTTTCTTTCTTTCTTTCTTTCTTTCTTTCTTTCTTTCTTTTTTTGAGATAGGCTGGTTTGTAGTCCAGGCTGGCCTTGAACTCACTGTGTAGCCCAGGTATGCACCACTACACCTGGCTGAAGTAGAGGATGCTTTTCATACTGTTCTTCATTAACGATTAAGGATTAGTAAGAAATTCTAAATGTATTCTTTATGGAAAAAAATGTAGAAAACCAGTTCATTAAAGTTTGCATGAAGAATCTATGCCAGCTTAGTCCTCCAACCTTATTTTCAACTGTTTTTAAGAGAAAGGAGATATTGCATGTATGTAATTAGGGGGAAATATTGACATAAAATCACTGAATCTTTCATATGATGAAAGAATGTTAAAGAGGTAGTAATGAATTTCTAAATAACTCTTACAACCAGTTTTTGTGGGGAATATGTTATATTTGTAATGTCTAACTATTCCACTGACTCTCTCTACTTGCTAGTGACTGTTCTTGCCATATTCCATGAGCTTCAAGTTGACGTTGAACTCTACGCACTTCTTTTTGGGGAAAGTGTCCTCAATGATGCTGTTGCCATAGTGCTGTCCTCGTAAGTGTTTTCTTACTCTGAATGGTCCAAGTAAGGGTACTAGGAACTGAAAGTTACTTATTGAATAAAATGCATTATGAATAGAAATATTTGGAAGGCTAAAGCTTATTTTCTTCTTGCAGAAATATATACTTTACTGGAAAATTCAGGGAAGGAAAACTAATAAGTATCGCATCTCCTAAAAATAATTTCTCTAAACATTCTAGGACATTTTCTTTTACTCTTTTTTATTGTGTGTGATATTTCTACATAATAGTGATTGTATTGGCTATATAATTGCATAATCTCTTAACATTATAACATGACCACTTTATTAATTTTTGAGCAGATAATATATTCATCTGGTTCCAAAATTAAGAGTATATAATGAACATTTATGCATAAGAATTACTTTCTTTCTCTTGTTCTCATCTATCCAGCTCCTTAGAGCTAACTATTTTTATTAGTTTCTTATGTATCTTAGTCTTTATTAAAGATGCAAGTAGAAATACGAATAAATACACTTATTTGCCTTTCATTGTTTTTTTGTGTGGTGTTGGAGATTAAACTCAGGGCCTCACACACGCTAGGCAAGTGTTGTACTACAAAACTACATCCCTAGTCCCTCATTTCTTACTTTGAAAATACAATACAATATATACTATATATATGGATACACACAATATATGTATATATACTATATATGTATGAGAGCATAAATATATTCTGGTGATATTTTGACATCAAAAGTGTGTAGTATTCTGTACTAAATACTATGTAATATCCTGTGTGTAAACTGTTCAGTCTGTTATACTGGACACTTGAAGGGGTTTCAGTCCCTTCTACCCCAAATAATGCTATGGTGATTAACTTTCAACTTTCTTAATTTTGTAATGCATAAGTACGTGGTATGCTAAATTCTCAGAAGTAATATTGGTGGTTGGTTTAATGTAAACACATATGTAATTGTTTTAAATCTTACTAAATTTTCTGGGATTGTACCACTTTGCACTTTAACCACTGAATTATGGAAAAGTCTGTTAATTCACAGCTTCACCAACAGAATATTTGTCAAATTTTTTTTTCCACCTTGATACTTTATGTTTAGAAGTGTTAAATAATATATCTTTATTGAAGACAGTTACTATTATCTTTTATCTAAATATAGAAATTACACGTTATTACAAGGTGTTTTCAGGTAGAAGTATGGGTCTGAACTGCTTAGGAACTGAATTCTGCCTACCCAGTCTTTTTTTTTTTTTTTTTTTGGTACAGGGGATCGAACTCGGGTCCTTGCGCTTGCCTAGCAGGCGGCAAAAACCACTGAGCTAAATCCCCGGCCCATGCCTACCCACTCTTACTAAGCAAATATCTAACCCTATAGACAATTGACTTTACTTCATACCAGAACTTTCTATAAAAGAGAAGTAAGAGGGCCGGGGATTTAGCTCAGGGTTCTGCTGCTTGCCTTGCAAGCACAAGTACCCAAGTTCAATCCTTGGTACCAAAAAAAAAAAAAAAGAGCCCTTCTCATTTTCACTTTATTTTATTACTCTCCTTATTCCACTTTGCTACCCAAAATAGAATAGTAAATCACTGACCTGATTACATAGCCTGATTGTCCCTGTGGCCTTACTGCAAAGTGGGAAGTTATCCTTTCTGAGATACAACACGAATCCCTTAGATGTTGCGTGTCATAATATAAAAAAGCCAAATCCACTTTTGTGAAAGCCGTTACATAAATGTTACCTCTTCTGTCCCGTATTCATTGCCAGAACTTTTTTGCAGCTATCTATAACTAACCTAATATTGACAGTGAACACAGGTACCTTCAATGAAGATAGGTACACAAGAAAAGTTGTATATTATATGAAGGAAGGAAGGAATGAATGCTGTATTTGTAATTTATGTGTCAGAATAAATAAAGTTACAAAGATTATTGGAGCTTACAGTCCATAGGTACAGTGAGATCACCAGCACTAGTAAGTAAAAAGAGTACAGTACAGGCAGTTCCTTTTAGAATCAGTTGTCCATTGTAGGCAATTTACTGTTTAATCATTTACTAATTAGAAAACTCTGTTTTCTTCTGTTTCTATCTTAAACTGATGTGCACTGTGCCTTAGTATTTCCATGGATAAAAGTAACCTACTTCTTGCACTTTAGGAGCTTGATTAGTGTTAAAGAAAGAAAAAAAAAACCTCACTGAAAGATTTTGAGCTTGGTGATATACATATCAGTGTTGAAGAATAAATGCATTAAGAAGAGAAAGCCTTTCACAAAGCACTTCTCTCAAAGGGCCAGCCTTGTCATATTACTACAGCCTTTCTGAAACGGGGTTTTGTGAGAGAATTTTTGCTTACAGAAAGCAACTTGAGTGATTCATTCCTTAATTCTCCTAGGAATGATACATAGCTAGTACCACTTTGGCTTGGTAGGAGGTAAGTTACCTCATTACATGCTATGTTGGAACCTTTGTGGAGAAGGACCATATCTAGAGAGTATCATTAGCAGGGCAATTGTTAGATATGTAAGTGTCTTAATGGAGTTGACCAAATGAGTCCCTGCCCACTAGCTGAAAGGAAACCTGTTGTGTTGCCAGCTGTAGGAGTTACTAGTAGTGCTCAGAAGTATACAGATCATCATCTTTCATTTGCTTTTGATATATTTTCAAGTATGTTAGATATAGTCTACCTTGTGTTGCATTCTCTTAGTTTGATTGTCTTCTGTGTATATTATGTATGAGTCTTGAATCAAAAGTGAGGATACCCCTTTCCAAAGGAATTCTGTTTGGCGATCAAAGGTTAAAACAGCTCTTGTTGAAATTTGTGTTGGAGGTTGGTTTTGGTATTTGTTCTTTTTTAAAAATTAGTATATGTTGGTGATACATAATAAATCTGTGTCTCATTTATTTCACTTAGCATTATGGTCTCAAGGTGCACCCATTTTCCTCCAAATGACTCAGATTTATCCTTTATGGCTAAGTAATACTCCATTGTGTATATATGCCATATTTTCTTTATCCATTCATCTGTTGATGGCCATATAGGCTACTTCCAAGATTTAGCTATTATGAATTGTGCTCTATAAACATGGAGATGGTTTTAATTTCTCTGTTTCTGTTTTCTGAACCCTTGTTTTGTTTTTTTGAGACAGGGTCTCACTATGTAGTTCAGGCTGGTTTTGAACTATGTAGCCCAGCCCTGCCTCAAACTCAAGTGATCCTCCTGCCTTGACCTCCCAAGTGCTGGGATTACAGGCGTGTGCCACCACACTGGGCTTTTTTGAACCTATTAGACAAGAAGTCATTTAAAAAATATTACTGGGGCCAGGGATTTAGCTCAGTGGTTCCACCGCCTGCCTTGCAAGCACAAGGTCCCAAGTTCGATTCCTGGTACCAAAAAAAAAATGTTTCTGCTTTTAATCTGGTTCCCTCATATATTGCTGTGTGAGCTAGATCTATATATGCTGAACACAGTATGGTATATCTAGCTAGTTAAAGGTGCAAAATATTCCACTAAATAGATATACCATAATTAGCCTGGAAATCTAAATTCACACTATTTTAAAATATGTTTTGTGCAGTCATTAACATTTTATAAAAGCAAAGTACAGAGAGTAAACAAGCATGACTATTTAACTCTACTAGTTACTGGAAGTATATACTTAAAAATAAGTGGTCATTTTTACTTGTTCACTTAATAAGACAAAATTGTTAATGATAAGAGTTATTACTGGTAGTGGCATAGTGCACTCATTCTTATTAGGGTAGTTCCACCACCCCTACCCCCAACTTTGGGGATATTTGACAGTGTCTACTGACATTTTGGTTCTTTTGAGTGGGCGTGGTTTGCTACTGACATCTCGTTTGTAATGCATAGTACAATACTCCTCCCGGACAAATAGCTACCTGGCCCCAAATATCAGTAATGCCAGAGTTGAGAAACTTTGGTATAGTGAAACTAGACCACTCATTGTTGTTAACATTGAAATTAGTATCCTCTTATAATTCATGACAATAAAATTAATACATGTTTGTGACAAGAATTCAAAGTATTTCACTTAGAAAGTAGAACATTCTTAAAATTTCAGCTCAGAAGTAACCACTGGTAGAGATTTCTTCTGGACTTTTTTTTATTAGGATATTAATGTACATATAAACACACTGATTTTTAAACAGAAAAGGTATAGTAGTACACATACTTTTCTATAAGTTGCTGTTTTCACTTGGTCATTGTACTATATTAATGCCCCTACTATCCTACTATATGGATACACTACAAATTTACCTCACCAACCCCTTACCTACTAATATTTGGTGTTTTTCCATTTTATTTGTTTTGTGGTGCTTGAAATGGAACCCAAGGCCTTGCGCATGCTAGGCAAGCACTCTACCATTGAGCTACACCCAAGCTGAATATTTAGCATTTCTAGTACCACATTATAATAACTAGCACTGCAGTGAGCATATTTATGTGTAAATATCTTTTTTCTTGAGAGAGTTTCTGTAAGATAATTTTGTTTTTGTCATTGTTTTCTAGAGTACTTCTGGGAAGGTTGAGATGCTAGGGATAAAACCTAGGGCCTTGTGCATCCTAGGCAAGCATTCTACCATGTAGAATACTTTTTAAAAGAGAATTTCTAGGTAAATTGGTAATGATCATTTTAAGAATTGAGAGCTATCATACTTCCCTCCAGAAATTTAACAGAGACCCTTTTTTGATACTGGGGATCGAACTCAGGACCTTGTGCTTGCAGGGAAGCGTGGTGCCACTGAGCTAAATCTTCAGCTAATAGAGACCTTTTTGAAAGTAGTTGAGTAACATATAAAAAGAGCTGCAGGTTTTGTAATACTCTGTATTTCTAGGACTGTAGTCCCAAGGAAATAGTTGAAAATATGTAAAAACCAAAAATTTGTTCTTAAACAGTATAAGCAACTTTAAATGTCTGAGAATGACCAGATAGTTAAATAAATCATGCTGTAACCATTTGGACCCTTTTGAAATCAAAACTGTGGTTATGGTCGAAAAAGCAGGAATCATAACTGTATATTCACTGTGATTATAATGAAATATGAAATGGTATTCATGTAACAAAAAGAGGGGAAAGCAATGTGGAAGGAAAACAAGATAGAGTAGTAGAATAACAGGGTGGGTTTTTTTCCTCTAAACTGTACATTGTATTACTTTCAGGATTTTAAAAATATTCATGAAAATGATTTCTCAAGATCAGATGTTGACTGATGTGGAAAGGATGAGCTCTAATTTCAGGCCACATGCCAGCATTTCTTCTGCAACAGAAGAAAACAAACCTCTTATCAGTTCTCAACTCATCATATTTTCCATGTGCTCTTATACATTTTAGTGATTAAGTAGTAAAATAATGATTAGTGTGAATTTTGAATTTACTTGAACTAATCCAGGGAAAGCAACTTCTGGAGACATGACAGATATTTTATTCCAGCCAGCATTTTGGAATATCCTGCCAGGGAGAAAGATTGTTGTGACAGTATCCTTTCTTTTTCTCTAGGCAGCTTATGTATTTATTTTTATTTTTAATTATTTTTTTTGGTACCGGGGATCGAACTCAGGACCCTGCACTTGCGAGGCAGGCACCGGAGCCAATGAGCTAAATCGCCCTGGCCCTAGCTTATGTATTTAAATGTTATAAAGTGTTCGAATCTCTTTTATAATGGGGTGACCTTTTATGTGTAGGTAAAGCAACATGATATTAAAGGCCATGTCATATTTATCAAAGTAATACCAAATCTGCTGGGACCAAAATGATCTCTGGTTACTTTAGCTATTTTTTTTTTTTTTTTTTTGCTACCCTGGATCGAACTTGGACCTCCTGCTTGTGAGGCAGGCACCAGAAGCACTGAGCTAAATTCCCAGCCCTGGTTACTTTAAACATTTAAAGATAAATGTTTAAAAGTTTCCTTTCAAATTGAGTTTCAGATATTTCTAGGTGTTTTTGCCGGAAATTCATGTTAGCCCTGTACTATACTTCAGTGAAATAGATACAAACTAGAAAATTTTGGTTTGGTCTTAGATTTTTTAAAAATTTAAGTGAAATTTGGGAAGTTTGAAAAGCACTTGCACATTATACAACGAACACATTTGTAAGCCTTGAACCAGGAAAAACAAAAAAAAAACCTATGCAGTAGCCACAGGGAGAATTCATTATATTCTTAGGAATGTATTTTTCCTTCCTCTTTTCTTTGACATGACTTATATGATTTTTTGTTTGTTTTGTTTTGTTTTCGGTACCGGGGATCGAACTCTGTCTGGGACCTTACACTTGTGAGGCAGGCGCCGGAACCACTGAGCTAAATCCCTGGCCCTATACGATGTTTTTGAGTCTATACTTTTTCTTTTCTTTGGTACCAGGGATTGAACCTCGGGACCCTGCACTTGTGCGGCAGGCAGCAGAACTACTGAGCTAAATCCCCGGCCCCTGAGTCTGTACTTTTTATAATGCCAGTACCCCAATAAACTGAGATGAGAACTATTTAGTAACAGTAAGCACTGTTGCCAGAGACCTGGTCAAGAGCAATTTTCACAGCCATTTCTGTTTCCTGGGTTGGCTGGTATAAAAGAAGCTTTTTCAGACCGGGTTTAGACTGTGAAAGTTCCAAGATGGAGCACGTCCCCTTTAATTGAGTATCTTGGCCTGGTACAGAGTAACTTTCATTCAGAAGTTTGGGGTGGAGAATCCAGCCTAGGTATGCTCAAAATACTGTTGAGTGGATTATAATTCCTTGGAAGGTCTTTATTTATTTATTTATTTTTTTTGGTACTGGGGATCGAACTCAGGACCTTGCACTTGCGAGGCAGGTGGTTGCACCACTGAGCTAAATCCCCAACCCATCTTTGGAAGGTCTTTCAAGCCCTTTTCCCCATAAAAGTCCAAGTTAGTGAGTGAATGGATATCAGGCATTTGGCCCATTCTGGTATTCTAAACGTTGGAAATGTCCTTTAGTCACCTTTTTCCCCCCATAGGAAATCCAAAATGTGACTGAGAATTGAACAATATTTTATTTTAATTTGTTTTTTTGAGGCAGGGTCTCCCTTTGTAGTTCAGGCTGGCCCCTGAACTCATTGTGTAGCCCAGGCTGGCCTTGAACTCTCTGCAATCTTCCTGCCTCAGCCTCCTAAGTGCTGGAATTACAAGTGTGCGCCACCATGCCCAGCTCTTTGAACAATATTTTTATGCCTCTGCTGGATTTTGCATTAGTTTGTTCCCATTAGTATAGTTGGGCTTTTGGACACTCAGTAACTCTTCAACATAGTCATAATAGAATAATACTGCACAGAATTGAGAATGGAGGAGCAGCCTCAGTACAACTTTTATACAGAGGCCTTTCCATGTTCTATCTCCTGAAATTGTCACTTAAGGAAAAACTGAGTCTTCTTGCTAGCTAGATATTCTGCGTGGTTTATTTATTTATTTATTTATTTTGGTACCTGGGAACGAATTCCGGTCTTTGCGCCTGCAAGGCAGGTGGTGGAACCACTGAGCTAGATCCTCAGCCCTGATTTTTTTTATAACCTTTTGTGTTTATTTTGGCAATTCAAATCATAGATTTGGGTTTTGTTTTTCTTCCTCTTGATTTCATCTATCAAGTTCTATGCTAGGTAATGTTTTTATTTTTTTATTTTTTTTCTTAAATTCTTTTATTGGTACATTGTAGGTATACAGCACAATTACATTTCTCATTGGGAACTTGTACCTTTACATGATGCATCTTGGTTCTTATTTTTTCCCCATT